AGATTTTTAAGTTTTTTTTTTACTAAAAAATAAAATTATTATCGTTACAAAAAGTTATATGCTACTGAATCTGTAAGCAAAAATCTCCAGTTCTGTTATTTGAACAGTAACACGCTACCGCGTGTCTAGATTGGTTTTCTGCCTTATTGATAAATTTTTATTTAAAAAGTTTCTTCGTTTAATTTCTGCCTCATTGCAACGAACTGAAGTGGCCTTTCCTATTGAACTACATCTTGTATTAGAAGCTAATGTACCGGAACGCATTACTGGAACTAGCCCTAGTTTGTATTAGATTCATCCGGATTGGACGCGGGTAAAGTGCTACATGGTACAGTCAGCATCAATAGTTGTGGAGTTATTAAATTATTTTTTTAACATCTCGGAGTTTCTCTGCTTGATCGAATCAGAAATGAGGAGATCCGTAGGAGAACCAGAATGACTGACATAGCCCGCAGAATCGCTAAAATCAAGTGGCAGTGGGCGGGGCACATAGCTCGTAGAGCTGATGGCCGCTGGGGCAGGAAAGTTTAAGACGTAGCGTGGGCAGGCCTCCCACTAGGTAGACCCACGATCTGGTGAGGGTCGCGGGAGGCGCCTGGATGCGAGCGGCGCAGGACCGGTCTTTGTGGAAATCCTTGGGGGAGGCATTTGTCAAACAGTAGACGTCTTTCGGCTGAAACGAACGACAAGTAAAATATCAAAAATATAGGGCATTTCTGGTATTTTTTAATTGAATTTAGTAGCTAATTTACAATGTACTCGTATGTTACATAATCGTACCTAATGTTTCTGTACTAATCCTAGTACACATTGTGTTAACGAAATATCACCCATCGAATGTCACACTTTCTTAGTCTGTACGCTGGTAATACTGTTTTCGTACTCAAAGTAAGTACCTAAATAAGGTAAAGTTTATTTGTAATCTAATTTACTAGTATAAATTTCAAATACCTAGTACTTATTCAGAGAGTATTCTAGTTAGGTAATTTAATTACACTTCGGTATCTTGATAATTTAGTCTAAAACAAAGCCTTTGATCTTAATGAACATTCAGTGTCGGTATTATATTTCAAAGGCTCATAATATACTCATTTATGTACATTAAAATAGTAATTTTGAAGAAATACTTTCATGATGCTGACATTTTTATCTGTGGAATGATGTGACAAAGAACTAACTTGTTTTACTTAAGTTTGTATTGATTATAAAATAGTGTAGTCATATTTATGTTTTATCGAATTTACTATGTCGACCAAAAAACAAAAAGTCCTGAAATGATAAATTTATCCTAGACCAGGTATTGGTAAAAATATAGATGCTCGAGACAATGACATTTAATTTTCCTCCCAGTGGGATTTGAACCCGCAACACTTCTTAATCTTTTACCAGACTAATTAGTAGGTACTTTGACAAATGGTAGCTCGACGGGCTTCAGAAAAATTAACTATCACAATTTGTACAGACTTCAGATCGTTAAGCTAATGACTGTAGGATCTTAAGTACTTGAGAATAGGAGCTATTTTACAATGAAAATGTATATTCTGATGTGCAGTAGTTTGTACTCTGAAAGATCCATTAGTTTTGGCAAACAGTCGAGGATGATCCATCGGAAAATGCTATGAAAGCATAGACATTTATTGTCTATGTCTCAAGTAGTGGTATCAGGTTGCTATACCAAGTCACTAATGTCAGCTAAACAGGTCCTATACATAATAATGTTCATAATACTGGTTGGGTTTTTCTTCGGAAATACTTTCTGGGACCGACTTCTTCAAAAAGAAGAAGGAGCCTGCCAATTCTACCGTAAGTTTTTTTAGATTTTGTTTTTATAATGATTTAATGTTTGTTTTTGGTATGATATAATTTGTATTTAAATTATTTTTGTACGTATTTTTATATTTTTTTTTTGATAGACCTATGATTTCTCCAAATCTTTTTGTTTTTGTTTAACTTTTTGCATTCTGAAATAATAGTATAGAACATTCTTTCAATCACGACCTCGTCAATGTAACGTAAAACGTTTAAACCAGTTGAAGAGTCAATACCTGTCATGTACATGATGACTTAACAATATATGTCCAATATTGTTAAGTCATCATGTACAGTCGACAACATATCTTACATATCAAAAAATCTTCGATGTTCGGACCTTACCGCTCGAGATTCGCTAACATGAAAAAAGCGAAATACTGAAGAATACTTTTTTAATTACTACGAATTAGTTTTACAATCGGGGTAACAGTTGAGATAATTTATTAAATCTTGCGACACGGCGGAACAGCAAACAGTACATGCCTTCGGCTACGATAATAGTTTTTGGGTGCTAATTTTACGAGATTTAACTAAATTAACAAGCACAGTTCCTACTGCTTTTGTTCAGCTTTTCTAAATTAAACTTTTCTTTAATCTGGGTACAAAAGTACTTACTTAACAAAAAATGCGCCATTAAAACTTAACGCAACGATTTTTCAACCGATGATGAAAAGCGATCACTTCTCCAGGCACCTATTAATCTAAATCTAGATTTAATCATTCCGAGTGTACAGCATCAGGTGTTTTTGCTGGACTAATCTAGCTCATAGATCATTGTCTTCAAATGATACTTATTAATCACAGCGTGGTTCTTATATTTTTTTACTTTATCAGCAGTTTTTCAGGACTGGAAATGCTGTGATTGACCAATTTGTCATTGGTGAGAGAGAAAATTTCAGTGTGATTCAGAAGATTTATTAGTTTTAAATCCGATACTTTATATGAAGTTTTATGTAGGTTTCTTAACTTCAATAACATCAAAAACGCGCGTATATTTTTTTTATTATTGACACATAATTTAATTTGCTAAGTACTTTAATTTTGTAAGTTAATTTTTGTTATTAAAGTTTTTTTGTTACAATAAATCTCAGGTTCTGCTGGTATAAATAAATAACATCACTAGATGCAAGATAGGTAATAAATGTTAATTAGGTACCTACCTTTAAAGTTGCGTAATTAAACAATGTTAATGCGATACTTAACTCTAACGTAAACATTCAGAAAATAAAAGAAAAATACCTCCTTACAATCGAACCCTGAAAACTCAAACTTTTAAATGGAAAGGCACACAAATGTTAATTTTATTAAAAGTTCTTTCACCCAAAAGTGCAATATATCACTCCAAACACTGCAAAAGTGCAATCAATCACGTCAAACATCAATTAGTAAAAATCAAACCTCTGGAGCCTTCAATCCCTTAAAAGAACAAAGATTTATTTTGTTCTAGCGTTTTCAGGGCAAAGAACTCTGGTACCTAATCCACGTTCAGCTAAGTGTAGATTTTATTCTGAAGTAGATATAAGGTGTTTGTTTCTTCGTCTATTAAGGTTGATAAAGACATATTTTTCGTAACAGCAGAGACTTCCCAAATTTTTTAATTATTCAAAATTTTCTTCTTTGAATAACAAAACCTTAATGATTTACGTAATCCTTTATGGCAGTGTTTTTCAACCTTTTTCATGACACCACCCCCCTAGTATGAAAAAATTTTTGGCGACCCCCGACCGTTCGCTTTTTTTTCATGCATTTTATAATGTTGCAAAGATGTTTGTAGGGACCGAATACTTCAATCCATACAACATTTGCATAATTCGATTTCGGATTAATCTGTCTTTATAAGATTTTTTTTTTACTGAAGTAGTTTTTACGACCTCTCGCGACCCCCATAAAGAGGCTTCGCGACCGCTAAATAAAACATATTTGAATGATCAAACGAACTTACCAAGTGAAGTTCGATCTAAATTATCCTGTTTTCGCCGAAGAGATTTAAAAAAATGGCTACTGGTTAACATCGCGCGTTAACTTGGAGCTAAAAATGGGTCAAAGTTACGCGTCGTGTCACAACGCTTATAATAAAAATGTACGAGCACTTGCACAAAATAGTTGTTACAACCAACCTTGTGTTGGGTCTAATTCTCGTCACTACACTGCACAACCTAAAATAATTACGTTTTTTGTCGGTAAAAAACGTCCTGGTGACGTCACTTAAGCATTTTTCTTATACTGCGTGCGGTCGTTGCGCGTGCGCACAAAGGAATGAGACCGCTCGGACACCGAGCCCACAGCGTGGTAGGGGTGGGGTTGCCCGCTCTTTTGTTTTTTACTACTACTGCGCTGAAAATTGTGTGCGGATTGACTTGTCGTACAGGGGTACTACATGGTAAAATAAATCTCGGAGGCGAAAGCAGGATAATCCTTATAATAACTCTTGTTAAAGAAACAAACTTAAAAGGTTTGCATAAATAATTATAATTTAGGCAACGCGTTGTCTAGACATCTAGTAGGTACTTAGTATACAACAATGCACCCTTAATGAAGTGGCACGGCCGTGTTAAAATGTTTATTCTAAATATTTGCAAAAGAAGCCCCTTAATAAGTGCAAGTCAAACAACCGTACACCGTGATCAAACATCGTGAACTCTTTGCCAGTGTGGGCCGAAGTTTCGACCTGAGCCAAGTTTCGACCCAGGCAGAAAGTTTCGGGCAACCCAAGGTGAATTTTGCAAGTGTGAAAACCTACACTCAGTAAACAATGTGCGAGCAGTGCCGAACCGAAGTTTTGAGCCGAAACAGCCGAAACTTGATCTGATTTTACTTAGTTGAACTAATACAACTTATTAATTAATAAAATTGGAAATAATTATCCTTTCTACTTAGCGTCAATTTGCGTCTCGTCAAGACTTTACATTTTATCTACTTTAATTTATAAAATGATATTTGAAAATGTTAAAAATTTTTCGTGGTAAATTCTTTCAGTCTGCAAATTAAATTCATAAGCCATAAAAAATAATGTAGATTTAAGATTAAAGAAGTTACAATAAACATGAAACACTGTAGGTAGAATCAAAACCAAATTAATCAAATTGATGAACGAAAGAAATAGAATAGAAATACGCTAAGTTCATTAAGTTGGTGTTGTTTCGGCCAACACAAACTAAGCTTCGGCACGACACTGCCTATCTCAAATAAAACTCACTGGCGAAGTTATTTCCTACGTCCTGGAGCAACATCTCTTCATGAGGCTGGCTCGCGACTAATTCCTTCCCAAATACCGTGATGCCCTCACTAATCATGTAAAGATGAATAGTGCTGGCCAGTAAATGTCCGCCATTGCCTCCAACTTCTGCTTCAAAAGCAGGCGTATCGAAAAGCAGCGCTGCACGGGTCCAGTCAAATCTGCAGACCAAATTGCGACTAGTAGCGACATCTGTTGCGGAGTAGAACACTTATTATGTCGGCCGTGGGAACTGAAGTCGAAACCGTGTATTCGCGCCATCTCGCGGCGAGTAGATTCAACGTAAAAGCACACCGCAATTGAAATTATTCGTCTAGTTTTCCAAAACAACAATAAAATTATTACGACTGTTGTTCATTTGTACACATAATTTATTATAATAGTAATAAAACACTCACCTGATAAAAATTGAAAACGTGTGTTAAGAAGTAGTAATATAAAAACTTAATCTAAACTTACTTGTGTACTTGTAGCCGAGGTAAAACTTCAGGTTCTCAGTATAATTCTGCCCACCATCAGACGTGGTATCCCATGGTATGTACATGATTTCTTCCAGCTTCAGATAGTTTGCGAAGGTCTTCATCATAAGGTGGCAAGTCGACTTGCCGGCGACATTCACTTGCGCCTCGGGGTCGTTGATGAGAAGAAGTTGCCGCCAGTTGAAGCTAGATGGCGTGAAACACAAGTGTTAGTGCGGGGTCACACGTGCGAAAAACGGTGCGGAAAACTTTGCAAAAACACAACAGGATAGGAACTTGATCGCTAAAAATTATTTAGGTAATGGTAAAAATTAAATATATTGGTATTGAACTGTTATTATTGTACTTAATAATCATAGCCACCGAACTTTCATGGAATTTTCTTTAAGTAAGTAGGTATTTACCTAACTATTCAGTTGATTGTAGGAAATACTTAGGTAGGTAGTTACTTAAACTTTTACCTTTGTAAATCATCAATTTCATCATGCTTAGGCTGAGTTGCACCAGCTCACTTTCACCGTACCTAATTTTAACAATAACCGGTGTTTTTTGTATCGACTTTAGCACATTTTTGACGTTTGTTAAAGTCATAGTAAGATGGTGCAACTCAGTCCAAGTAAGTACTAGTCTGTTATTTGAACAGCTAAAGTAAGTACCTAGCATCTTTTCTGTTCTGTACATACAATAAATCTTGTATTTGTATACTAAAGACTATTAAATAACAAATTAATAGCATTAATAATGGTTTATGTTCTCCGTTTAACTATCCTCTAAGGAATCCAGTGATTCCAATTTGATATCCTACACACTAAAGTAGAAGGTAATCAATTCCAAATATTCCAAAGTCAGCTAAAGTAAACTTAATATCAAGAGATAATTAATACCAAGAAAGGCGAGTAAACAGCTTCACCTCTACTTGACGGTCGCATAATAGCAATCTATCTACATCCATCATCTGGGGCTAGGGTTGCCAGGCGTCCGGATAAAGCCGGATATAGGTAGGCTTTTTGATTGCGTGTCCGGCCAAAATAAACGGTCTCCGGCTTTTGTTAGGCTTTTTTATATTTCGCAAACGAGCGAGCGCCGAGCGTGGCCGAGCGCAGGCGGCCCCGCCAGATACACGACTAGGGTTGCAAGGTACATTAATTATCCGGCCAAATGAAGCACAGAGTCCGACTTTTATGTTTTTGGACCTGGCAACCCTATCCGGGGCGCTAACGGCATTGACTTCGTTAATTAAAATCGCTACCGAACTGTTTTCGACGTCAGCTTTAGATTTAATTTATTTCTCGGTAATGTTCCAATATTGACTTGTAAGTTTACTAAATATGTAGCAAGTTTGTAGTTGAAAATTTGAACTCTCTTTAGCTAAGTAATTTAGTCCCTATTTCCTTCCTTAACTGTTATGTTGTATCGTTATTTTATATCGGTATTTAATTTGTTATTATAAGCGCGTATCCAAACGTAGCTAGTTTAAAAGCATTATTCAGGATGTGTATCCGAGATTCTTTCTTCTTGATACGCCAGACAAAATGGCGATAGGCAATCTTGTAAGCTCTGTGTTTAATCGAAAATAAAAGACAGTATCTTCAAATAGAAACAACTTTTATTTACGTCTCCAAGGCGGAGACATCACAAATATGGCGACGAGCAAAACATTTATCGGCGGCCAAGGCGGCATAGGCCACAACTTGAAACCCTACGAGGAGGGTGAGGACATAGCATGTTTCTTGGAACGCATGGAGCAATATTTCGAAGCAAATGCTATCCCTGAAGAAAGAAAAGTGGCATCTTTACTTGTAAGTTTGCATGAAGAAGTCTACAAAACATTGAAGAACGTTCTGCACCCAGATTTACCATCTACCAAAACCTACAAGCAAATCGAAGATGCACTCAAACTTCGCTTTAAACCTCGCATCTCTCACTACAGAAAGGTGATTGAGTTCGATAGGCTTCGACAAGATGACGGCGAGAGTGTGGCGAAATTCTATTCTCGAATTCGTGAGGCATCGACAGATTGCAATTTTCCAGCCAGCAGCATGGAAGCCATTGTCAAATATAAACTGGTGACAGGTCTGAGGCCAGGGCCTGTGCAGGATAGACTTTGTGAGGAGGATTCACAAAAGTCCCTGAAGGAGTTACTCGAAGTGGCGCTAAACAAGGAGTCAGCAATCGCGAGCAACCACAGAGCAGTCAACAAGGTATACAAGAACATAAGCGGCAAGGACCGATCGAGGGGACTACGGACGCGGCCTGAGGGCGCCACGGTAGGCTCGGACCTCGGCTCAGGCCGTGTCCGGGGGACGGATAGGGGAGAACCGGCCCGGTACATGTCTGTACCGTCCGAAATGGAAAGCAGGGCCTCGTACTCGCCGGCGAGTACGGTGTAACGAGCTACTGTGTTGTGGAGTAGTTGGCGTGCTTAAGGCAGTGATGTCTGTGTTCAGAAATTCGGTAATAGGATCGTCCGGGTCGTCTAGGACATGCCTAGGTCGTCGGTATTGGGCAGCGACATCTTTCTGGGGTGTATACGTGGCGGCGCTAACGATAAGAGGGTTCTTGTGGTTGATCGCTTTATCAAAGTAGCGGCGAGAGGCTTCTTTCATAAAGTGATCAATCGATGGGATCTCGAAATCTCTATGGAGATTCGTGTTACGCACGAACCACGGGGCATCCGCGGCTCGGCGTAAGAATTTGTTTTGGAGGGTCTGGAATTTCTTAAGGTCTGTGCAGGAAGTGTGAGCAAACACCGGACTGGCGTAAGTCAACACTGGACGGATGCAGGTTTTGTAAATTGTCAACTTATTTCTAAGTGACAATTTACTTTTCCTTCCAACTAGGTGGTACAGTCGTACAGAAACTCAAGAAATGAGCCAAATATTTAAAATGGCCACACGCGAAGTATAAGACGTGTTATAATTACTTTCTAATTTAAAAGTGTTGATATATTGTACCAAAAATATATGTACTTTAAAGTTTAAACAATGAGTCTAAATTAGAACCAGAAATGTATGTCATGCAAACAGTCTCGATTCCCTAAAATTGAAAATTTCTCTCTCTATTTGACTTCGGTATTATTATTAAGAAAGTTCTTTCAAGTCAAGTCAGTGGGCTGTTAGCATTTCAGGAAAAGTTGGCGGTCAAATAATTACACTGAAGCCATATTTGGGTAGTGATGTGGATGGAATGTTATTTGAACGTGTCGATATGTAAGTGTTTTGATTTTATCGTAGTTTAACTAAAATAAATTACTCGATAGTTACCATTATTTGATATTTTGTAGTGGTACACAAATTCGTAATATACATTCGACTAAAATCATCTTTTTGTTAGTGAGTTTGGGATATTATAATGTAAATATCAAAAAGGCATTAGTTAACAACAGGTGAAGACAATATTTTAACCCTTAAGTAACATCCTTATTTTTGGTTACATATTGAACACCCTGGGGGAAAAAAATACCCCAAACGAAAATTGAAATTTTTTAAATATATTTTGAAAATCAATAAAAAAAATTGATTTATATGTATTAGCGGGCTCAATAATTATACGATTGCTTTAAAAAAATCGTCTACCTAGCGTAAAGAAACATCTAAATCAATCATAACAAAAAACAAAGAATTTTTCATTTGCAACTAATAGTCTCCACAATGATCTTCTAGAAAAATCTAGGAAATTTATTGTGGGAACTAAAAACTTACACTAATTGGACATCGAATAAATGCTTTATACACATTTTAAACTCAAAGTTAAATAAAACAAAAATTTCTGGACTTATAACAAAATAAAACAAAAAAAATATAATATATTTTATGATTATTATGAAAAATTAATTTTTATTTTATTTTATTCCTAATTATTATTTTCAAAACACATCAAACACACTGAATTATTACTTTATTTCTGTGTCGAATTTGTGAACGCTCTGTTCTGAGGGGATGTCTTCAAAGTTCGAAAAGTATCATGTAAATCAAGCTCTATTTATTTCTCTACATTCTCGAGACAACGTGCTACTTGATCGTCATATAAATATTTACTAATTTTGTTTAAATACTATAAAAACCTATTAATAACATGTTAGGTGATGATAAATTAATGCATGCGTAACTAACACCCTGGGGTAAATTTCTACCCCACCTACCTGTAAAAGCCAAACGGATGTTTTTTTTCACATCCCGCTTCTACGAGCTCAAACCGCACGCTCTGCATTGAGAATACACAAAACGACATTGCACTAGCTTCGCTAGAAAAAAAGATAGGTTAATTTTTATACACCTGGGGTAAAAAATTACCCCACGGTGTTACTTAAGGGTTAACATAGATAAAAGTAAAAAATCTGTCAAATTCCGTAACACCGGTTTTCGTTATAGTTACGGTTAAAGTTAGGTGATGCACAACAGCAATGAAAAATAGTGGAAAAACCGGAAAAAAATCGCTTGCGGTTCAAGCAAATTTATGCCCTGATATAATTTATCAGTTTTTGTATTTGCTTTATTTTTCTATACCGAGAACTTTCCGCAATACATTTTCCTGTAAGAAAAAAATATCCGCTATCGATTTGTCAGAACTGTAATAATTGTTTCGGTCGACATAACAACCTACGAGTACCACAAAACTTTGGCAATGATTCCTGAAACAGCGAATTCTGAAGGACCCTCGGATCGCTCGCCGAAACTACACCGAGTTTTCTCTAAGTTTGTTATTTTGTTAATAACTTTGTACAAACGTTTGCTTTGCTTCAATTTGCCATCTGGGAAGATGGACTGTAATAGGTACAATCGTGGTTTATTGAAAAGATAAGTTTCTGGGTTCAACCGCGTCCACGTGGATTTAAAAAAAGTAGTTTTAAATTAAAAACTTAGAGTTATTATTCTTGTAAAACATGTTAGGTACTGTTTTATAAAGGTATTTTCCTTTTGAGGCATGCACTAATTATTTAGCAATTAGGTTAGTTGTAACGTAACCAAATGCCTAAACCAAACAATAGCAATAAACATTAATTTAATAATCGGTGCTATCTGGCAATAGAACCCATGGCCGACCGAAAGAATAAATAGCAGTGGTATTTTTACTTTATATTTTTGAAACGTTTTTGAAAAAATTGAGAAAGTTCAGGCGTATCAAGAAATTCATGAAAATGTAAAAAAGCTATGAATATTTGAAAACTTATTTACCTACTTATCCAT